TAGGGTTTAGGACTATAAGGGTTTAGGACTCCAGTTAAACAAAATCAGAGCCAATTTGAACAAATGATGAAACAATGAACAGCGGGGAGAACCTTCCAAAAGCGGCCGGCCAACCAAAATTATCCTAAAAGTTTACCCATGACTCATCCAGGAGGTAACACAAGAACCCAAAGTCATGTCTAAAACTCTGCGAGCCTAATGGCTAGTTCACACAAGATTTACTGTCGGAGATTCTTGATGACTTTCACCCCCATTTCCCTCTTTCCAAAAACCGTAAGGACGCCTCACTTATCGGGATGGAAACATGGAAAGGAATAAAAGATACACAGAAGACCAAACAACTGCAACCAGAAAGTCCAATAGATGTTGGAAACTATCGTCATTGCTTCTTCCCAGTCCACCATGTTTGTTTACTTTGAACTCACATTGGATCTCAAGAGGTTTTACGAGATTTCCCATCTGAAACTTGCATGTTGGTGGGTGAAATCAGTTCATGTTGCTCCTGAATGCCACACACCCATTCACACACCAATAAAATGTCCTGACGTTTAGAAAAAATATCATGTGACACATGAAACAAAGGTGGAGCCTTTTGCAAAGTGTGTGAAAAACCGACTCAGCATTTCAGACGGAGAACATCATCAAACATGGTGATATATAATTGATAGAACCATAAATCATCCTCTTTACAAAAAAGGACAATGTGTGGCCATCAGTTACTGACTTCAAGTCCAAGTGCACACCGGCAAGTCGATCTCTGCTCTGTTTAAACCTGCCTATAGTCTTTGTCTGCAGCTGATTTGTAAAAACATATAATCTTAACCCAACAGTGACTGAATTTAAACCAAAAAGAGTCTAAAAAATGTGCCTCCTCAAGGTCAGCCGCTGAGGAATCAAGTCAGGAAGCGTTTTAGGAGATCATTACTCCACCCACCCAACCCACACCTGGAGACACGCTCGTGCCTGAAGGAACAACACGTCATTGTTGCATTTAATTTCACATTTTGCCCCCCCTCACGCCCCCACCAACCCACGCTCTCTCGCTCTCTCTCAAGTCTTGTCTGGCTTCTTGTAGTGCCTCTCCGCTGTCAGTGGACTCCGGGCAGGCTTCATTAGTCGTCACGGGGAGGCAGCGCCGTGACTCACTGCCTGCGTGGAGGGACCAATGGGCAGCCTCAGCCTCCGATATAAATAACGTATAGAAGATATTCTTGAGAGAGGAACGGGTGGAGGGGGGTCAGCCCGCGCTCACAGCTGGATTGGATTCTTTCAGTGCGCTCCCTCCGTCAATGGACTGCTTCTTGTCGCGCATATCATTGAGTCGATAACCTGTGCCGGTAAGATCCGTTCACCCTTCCTTTTTGTCCTTGGTATTTATTGACAGGCGTCAGATAGACGCGAAACCCCAGACAGGTGAAAGGTTGATCCTAATCGGCATCATAAACCCAGAGCTGGTTTCATTAAAAATAATAATGATAATAACAATAATAATAATGCAGTTTTAAATGAAAATACTCAATTACTTTTGAGATTTGAAATCTTAGACGAATGACAGAACGAATCTGTTTTTTCCCCCTCATACCTTTATGGCATCGACTCATGTTTTTTTAGACAGCTATGTTTTACTGATCAAACAGATTCTTAATAGAGCAAAATTAGTCTAAATGTTTTCTATGTCCTTGTGCTCCTTCGGAAATATCAACTGGTGCGACGGCTGTGGATGCTCGACAATAAAGCGCAAATATTTATTTTATTTTATTTTATTTTTGTCTAATTAATAATATCTAAGTGGGGAAAAAACTTAAGGGGGATAAAAGAGGCTCGTTTATGGAATGATAGAGGTGTCTGGTTTATTTCTGTCAATCATTCTCATTATGTACATTATGTATGGGGGAGATTGTTGCAAATTGAGACATGGTCGTTTAAATATTTTTTAAAATATCCATGTAGGAATCGTCTTATCTCAAATATCTGCATTTTGATGTGCATCTGTTCTGTTTGCGTCGTGCGCAATTCTCTCCACACTGAGCGTCTTGATCAATGCCCACACCGGGCTTGGTCTTTGGAAATATAGATATACCCCCTTTTCCATCAGATCTTTTCCATCAGATCTTTTCCATCAGATCTCACCATGGACATACCGCTTATTCTGGATTTTATGTTTTCGGACCCCGCAGCCTCTTTCACCGCCCCCCACCGTTCTGTTTGCAGGTGAATTATCCCCCAGCTTTGGACACCAGATAACGGAGAAGCGATGGCGACGTCCGAACCCAGAGCCACCGAGGAGGAGCAGGACCCCAACGCGGCTAATTTAAGACCCCAGTCTGGAAGTAGGTCCTCACACCGATCATCCGGCTAACGACAAAAAGTGATGTTGCCTCCGTGACCTCTTTCGGGAGTTACCCTCAAAAATATAGCAGCTCAATGACAAGGCCGATGGTGCCTTGCTAAAAGGCACTTCTGAACCCAGTCCAACCCCCACATCTCTCTCTCTCTCTCTCTCTCTCTCTCTCTCTCTCTCTCTCTCTCTCTCTCCACTCCCCTCAACCTCTCTGATAAAAGCAGTCTCGCCCGGGCCATTTGCTGTGTGGGCTCCGTCGTTAATCATCCCGGTTAAAAACAGAGACATTACACCAGCCTGTCGCTGTCTGGCGGATCAGCAGTGCGCGCCGGGCAGCAGACAAGGCTGAAATAACGCACCATTAAAGCCATCTGAATGACATTTATCCCTATAGGAAACACATGATAATATTCGTCTTCTCTTTTGAATAATTTACAGCTTCATTTTTGCTTTTTTTTTTTTTGGATGGACTCTTATTCGTTCACATTTACTTCTGACTTCTTAATATTTCATGATAAAACCGAAATATATATGTATTTTTTCCCCCCAGTAAAAGCTGATATCATCTTTTTATTGGCTAGTTATTTTTCATCCAGTGTTCCAGAGACGGCTATGCATTAACCTGGGGGTTAATTAGTCATATTTTCAGTCTGCGCCGCATGCACAAAATCGACTCTATTAGAACACGTTTGAGCGGCCATCTGCACCGCAACGCAGAGGGAAAAAATAATAATAATCATAATAATAACAGGGTGTTGTCCTCCTCAACTCAGCCAGTCAGCAGAGAGAAACGCCCAGTTCGGGGGTCAGTGAAGCAGCACATATGACATTTTCTCCTTTTGTTTTTCTGAAACGAAACATTTTGGAGAGAGAGTTATATATGTTTATGGCCTTTGCGTGTCAAGTGGACGTGTCTCAAACTTCCGGATTTATTCTCAAGGTGAATTTGTACCCCCACAAAGACGCACTGAAGGAAAAAAGAAAAAGGCAGAAGAAAATCTAAACTAAAATGTTTGTTTTGTCTGCTGCTGGATGTTGCCATTATCTCTTTGCTATGCTCCATCTCACGCCTGGCGGCTTGTGTCTGTCCGTGGGTGTTTGTGTCGTGGCACGTGAGATTGCTTTAACATATAAAAACACATTTTTTGCTGCTCTGTTTTGTTTTGTTTTACAGAGTTTCTCATCAGGTGCTTTATGTAGGCCTATGCCATGACTTTGCAGCCGGTGCGCTTACGCTTGTCGCTTCTCTCAGGCTGCAGATGCATAAAGCCCGCTTGACTTCTGTGCACTAATAAAACAAGCTGTTAGAATTTCCTAAATAAAAGATTTTGTAGTGTAAAAAATTTTGTAATTCTTTGGGGAGGGGGGGATTTTTTGCCAAATATCTATGAGTAGAAATTATGTATTTTTTCCAGCTTATAAAGAAATTATTTATACTGTTTTAAAAACTTATTTGACAAACGTATAGCTACATTTGAACACTCAGTTGTGTTTCTGGTTTAAAAGAAACAGAAGCATAAGAATTTGTTTTGCATGTTACTACACAATTAAGATATGCTAATGAGAGCCTCAGGGTTAAGAAGCTCTGAAATCTTGACAATACTGTACAGAAAAGAAAAAAAAACATTAGCATTTATGTCATAAAGCCGACGTAACAAGTTGTTAGGGAATTGTTTTACTAAATATTTCTGAGTAGAAATTATGTAGGTCCAACAGTTAAAAGACTTAAGCAAGTTAAATTCCAGCTAACTCTTAAGGTGTGCTAACTCAACAGAATCTAATTAGCAAGTTTAACGTTAGCATCATTTCTGTTACGATGAAAAGAGAATACAATGGTGATTTGTAAACCTTTCCATGGCAACCACAGCAAAGACATGCTGTTCCCTGACATTGAACAGCATTGACTCATTAGCACAGTTGCTAAGCAGGCTAAAACTGGATATGAAATGCATGTTTCACCACAGAAACATTCACAATTTCAAGTCATTTCACATTTCTTAACTTTTACTAATGCCAAATCTAACAGTTATTGACTGTTATACTGTATTTACAAGTTCAAATTCTTACTAACAATTTATCATTTTAATGGTTAATATTTAACTGAGAAATTAATTTTTATAGGGCATAAATTAATTGTTAAAAATTATTCCAAAAAAATTTGTTTTTAAATTATTTGACCAATTTGTTGATTAAATTCCAACACATTGTAGGTGTAAGAAACTTCACTTGTCAGTATTTCTGACATTAGCATTAGCGGTAAATGCTAACTTGAATTCTTGTTATAGCACAAGCTTTTTGACAGTTCTTAATTTTAATTAAGTTTATGCAGATTTTATTACACTATATATCCAGCAACCTTTGCTGGACCCCACCACACACAACGAATAAGAATAACTTTGGCGTGAACCAATATCTCAAATTTAATTCTAATTTAAATGTTTAGTCAGGACGTTCACAAAGATAAAACGACAAATGCTGTTACAAATGTAAAATTTTGAAACATTCAGTTTACGTAAATCTTGATTAAAACTATAAGTACTTTAATTGGTTCATATTTAATTTCCTCCTAAATTCATTTTTACAGTGTATGAGATGTAAGGTTTAGCTTTCTATTTCCAGCTTGCCACAGGCTACCTAAAATCACGCCCATTTCCAGCCCGTTCCAGTCACATATTCTTTGTTGCACTCAATTAATTTCTCGTCCGTGGGCTCATTTCACGGGTGTTAATTCCAGCCCGCCCCTTGGCTGGGTTTCGAGCCGGCGTGGATGAGCCCCTCGGTCCCTATTGATTGAAACCAAATCGAAAATGTTTTAAAACTACTCTCTCTGAAATACAAAGGGGTTATGGCACAGAGGACATAATTAGAGAGCAAAATAAAGGCCTACCAATTCTGTGTATTAAAAATATTTTTTTTTTTAAAAAGGGGGTGAAATATGACTCACCGTACCTGTCCGAGAGACGTCGCTTCACGGTGTGCTCAGTGTGTGCTCCATCGTCATCCGCCTCTGCACGGCCTGCACAACAACACACAAAGACACACACACACACCCAAACAAAACTCAAAAACGCTCATTCTGTTTTAGCCTACGAGTATGCGTGGATGCACGGATGCACACGGAAACTGGGGATGAAGATTTGCGGTAAGTTCTGGTTCGAGCCCATCAATCATTTCCTGTCACTATTTCATCACCTTGTGAGCCATATATCAGGAGGACGGGTTTTTTTTTTCTGTCTGACATTTCATTTGCGAAAAATACTTGTATTATTGTGCTTTTTTTACCCCTTCGAAACCGGTCATTACTGCAGTTTTTTTTTCTCTCTTTTTTTTTTTAAACCCATTTTGAGGCCTTCTGAAATGTAGGCCATTGTTTAGAGCTGAGCTGCTCATACAGGCCGAACCACCACTGTCACTTTGCGTTTCCATCTCCCAAAGGTCAGCGGGCATTAGCCCCTAAGGTGCCGTGGTGATACCCCCCACAGCCCGCCCCCTGACCACCGTGTCCTTTCCTTATCAACACTGAGAAGAAAAGCCCTTTCGACATGTCGAGGAGGGAGAAGAAAAAAAAAAATGGAATAACCCTAGAATTAACTAAAACATTTTCACCTTATTTTGATGAAAATGGGATTATTAAAAAAAAAAGCATCTGCGGCTTGTTTTGTGACTTGTAAAATCCATGAATGATGTAGATTTACAAAATGGAGATGAAGGTAATCAAACGGAATGTTATTGACCTGTTTGTTTCACCAGAAATCAATGAAAGGCCCCAGGAAGTACGACAAGCCAGTGATCTTTTTTTTTCTTTTTCTTGTCTTCTTTAATTTTAATTTATCTTTTTCGACTTTGATGAAGTCGTGCTTTGAGGGCAGATGGAGTGAGAATGTTTACAATGTCACAAAGATAGATTTTAAGTTGTCTTCAGATTTCGAGCAGGCGTGAACGGGACTTCTATGTTTTTACGCATTTATCTGCAGAAAGCTATTTAGTTAAGAGCCGCCTGATTAAGTGGCTGAATGTAAAATAGGCCTCCCCCTGGGCGCGCGGAGGAAGATTGCCTCGGGACTCTGTTCATCCGTCATTAACCATTGGGTTTGTATTTAGCGGCTGCGTGGAACATCGCTTCGGGCTGCCGTGTAGTTGTACTGAGTCGGCCTGTTGTTGCTCCCCGCTGGCAGGGTCTGACTGTGATGTCACTGGGTGGAGCCCCCTCCCCCCTGTTCCCGGTCCTCCAGTCCTAACATTGGCGCGTGCCGCTGGCCTATTTAAGGTTGACCTGCCCACACCAATTAGCATTTCACATGGTTCAGATCATATGAAGCTGAAACAGCTTTTTTTCCCGGACATTCATCGTCTCAGATTTTGTGGCATAAACTCATTTTTATTATTTATTTTATATATATGTATATATATATTTTTCTGTTTTCATAAACCTGTTTTTCTGAATGTAATGGAGGTGCTCGGAGATAACGCATTCTCTTCATCGTGCAACACTTTAGGCTTCCTGCAGAAGAACAACAGCCTGGAAGAGAGAGGGAGGCTCGCGGGCCAGAAGAACCTGCTCTCGTGCGACAACAGTGACAGAGACTCGCGCTACCGCCGCACAGAGACAGACTTCTCCAACCTGTTCGCCCGAGGTGAGACCTTTACACCTGGTTGTAGTTTCACAATGGCGGGCCTAAGACTTTGCTTTTTTGCCTTCGGTAATATAAAACTACAAAAGTGTTCCCAAAAGCGCTTCCTTGTGGTTTTTCTTTCGCTGGCCTGTCGCTCTCATCTTTTCATCTAACTGTAAGTCCAGGTGTTCGCTAACCTCATTAAGTTTGTGAATTTATATCTGTTTTTGTTTCATTTTCTTTCCCCCAAGAAACACAGTTAAATAGCTATTAAGTCAAATTGATTAATGTTATTGCTTGTTTTCACCTGGTAGACTATTTATGACGCTTAAATGTGCTCCCAATTTGAGTTTTTGTGTGAGACTTGATTAAAGGGCCATTTCACCTCAACACCATCTGGAGTAGCACTGTTGCATAGTATATATAAAACAATAGTCAAACCTGAGTCTGACTATTATGAAAGCACAATAAATTCTTGAAAAACCACACTCAATATACAGGTCAAATTTTAACCTATGAAATATTCAACAAAATACATTATTTTTATTTGGGTACGTTTTATTTTAGATTTGTGAACACTGGAAATGTGATTTACAGATTTTTAGGTTTTTCTTCACCTCAGACAGGATATACCAGAAAACGGCAGCAGATAGGTCAAACCTGGACCAATCTAATTTGTGCCAGGTCATTTACCTGGCACTAATTATTTAGAAATTGTATAAAATGTAGTTTATGAAGCCTTTTTATTCAGTTTGTTAAAACCCAAAAAGGAGAACGGTTTCAAGGTGCTTGGCTTGTCCGCCACCTAAAATGGGGTCCAGCCAGAAAACTGCAAACTAAAACCTGGACAGATTCATTCTGCATCACTGACAGATTTCATAAAATACAATTTGTGAAACTTTTATCCTATTTACATTTTAAGACTCTTTATACTATAACTTTAAATGAGGTTTGGCTTGTAAATTGTATGACCTGTACAACTCAAATCCAGACAGTTATTCTGCACTAATTACAGTTTTTATGAAATATAGTTTGCAACTTGTTGAGTTTTTTATGAATACTCAAGAGGTATTTTAAGGCATTTTTGGTTTACATGGTGTCCAGCTTGAAAACTATTTCATTAAAATCTCAGAAGTTCTCATAACTGCCCTTGTAAAGCTTAAGTTTGAGTATTTTAGATTTTAATCTAAGCATTGAGATTAATTTAATGCAGTGAAACAACCATTTTGTCTAACACCATCATAGATTCAAAGTTCAGCATTTTACGTTATTGTATGGCAACTTGGCTGTAAGGAAACTTTTATTATAGACTGAAAATAAGCTTCCAGAAGATTCCCACCTTTAATCCAATTCTTATTGGTCGCTTGGGTCTAAAGGAGAAAAAGAAAAATGACCAGAATAATCACTTTTACCCCTGAGTTAAAACCAGTGGTAACACTTTATTTGAAGGGGGTTGAATAAGACTGTCATGACACTTTCATAAACATGACATAACACCTGTCATGAACATGAATAAGTCTTCATGAATATTTATGACTTTTGTCATAAAGCGTCATTCGGTAAATTATGCCACTTTTAATACAAAGTTGACATTATTCAAAATGTCTTTGTTATGACAACTTGACATTAACCAGGAAATCATTACTGTTTAAACTTTACCTTTAATAACTTAAAGTTACCTAATTTTTAAAGTGCAATCAGTAATACTTTTATAACAAATTTATATCAGTAATGATTTATTTAGTTAATGTCAAGTTGTCATAACAAAGACATTTTGAATAATGTCAACTTTGTATTAAAAGTGTCATAATATACCGAATGACACTTTATGACAACAGTCATAAATATTCATGAAGGCTTATTCATGTTCACGACAGGTGTTTATGACAGTGTCATGTCAGTTTTATTCAACCCCCTTCAAATAAAGTGTTACCAAACCAGTCAATTTGTCCTTTTAGAGTTTAGTTCAGGAACATTTCTAAAGTGCAGTTATCAAATAAGCCTGTAGTAGTCTTTAAGCTTTTTGATTCCAGCTGACATTGAGACACAAGGTAAAAATAAATGAACTATCAAATTGAATTTGGTCGTGTTTAAATATGTTTGAATTCTAAATAAGGAGAGAGGTTTTAAATTCACCGCTAAGCTTTATTCCCACTGACTCTCCCCTTCCACTTCTTAGACCTTCTCCCAGCCAAAAATGGAGAGGAGCCCACCATACAGTTTTTGCTGGAGGTTGTTGAAATCCTCACAAACTACATCAAGAAAACCTTTGACCGCTCCACCAAGGTGCTGGACTTCCATCACCCTCACCAGCTGCTGGAGGGCATGGAGGGTTTCAACCTGGAGCTGTCTGACCAGCCGGAGTCGCTGGAGCAGATCCTGGTGGACTGCAGGGACACGCTGAAATACGGCATCCGGACAGGTGAGAAGTAGCTCGTATAATGAGTTCGATTGATGCGCAGACACAAGGTGTTTGCTAATTGCTGCTGGCTAGTCTGAAGGAGCTGAGCAGGGGAGTTGCGTGGGAGGGTTGCTGTGTGTAGCAGAAGCTTGGAAACTGCTGCTCCAAGGTGCAGCTTCGTTTTTGAAGGCGCTCTTGTGCAGCTGAATGGTTGCCATTGGAGATTAAAGTATTTCTCAAGCATGAAAGAATCACTTTATAACGACGTAAAGCTAAAAAAAAATAAAAATAAAATATTGATTTTACACAATACTACCCTTTAATTTTACACGGTTGCATAGGAAAATGACTTCAAATAGCTAAACTGTTGGCTAAAATATTACTGGTTTAGCGGTGGAATTTAGCTAAATTTTTTTAGGCTGAACGTTTTAACATGTATAATTACATTTTTGAATCAATACTTGCGTTTAAATTAAGCGTCAGAAAAACAAAGAGGTTTTTTTTCACACATGTAGTCTATTAAGATAACTACTACCTTATGTGTTTCCCTTGCAATTCATTTGACATCCCCTCCTGTTTCCCCCCATGACTTATTAAACTGAGTGTAGCCTGAGGGCGATCTTGACATGGGCTGTTTCAAGCTGCTAAAACGACAAAGCTCAAACTGTCCCCTGGGTTTTACCCCATGCTTGTTCAATTCAGCCTCTATGTTTTTCTCTTTGTTTTAAAGCACTGCCAGGAGGATTTTAGTGCGTGTGTGTGTGTGTGTGTGTGTGGGCTGAAGTGGAGCTCTCCACAGTGCTGAAACAGAAAGCAGCCCGTTTCTTCCGATAGCGTCAACAGCAGATATACCAGCTATTTTTTCCGTGATACTTAGTATGCATCTCTTCATTATGTAACCCATGTAGAGAGCTCGTATCCTTGGCTGAGTGTTGGCTGTGTGTGAGCACCACCTTGCAGTTTAAACAGCTGTCATACAGCTGTCACCAGGGCAAATATTGCATACTAGACGCTCATGTTTGAGCTGTTGTTGTCATGGGTGACCATAGAAAGAAAAACAGTGTTTGAGCACCGGAGCTCTTCTGTTTATTCTGTTTTTGTTTTTTTCCACTCAAGTCATAATCAGATTGTCTCTAGTGCATTAAATAATCTCAGTTTAGTTGTTCGCTCTGCATATGAAACCTGATGCAGCCTGCTAATGCAGCCTGTATGTGTTTATTTGTTCAGGCCACCCACGGTTCTTCAATCAGTTATCGTCTGGTTTGGACATCATCGGGCTCGCAGGAGAGTGGCTCACTTCCACGGCGAACACCAACATGTAAGTCAAACAGAAGGCAGGCCTCTGCTCGTCCTTGAGCGGGACACAGTTTATCTTTACGTGTGTCATATAAGGACAACTGGGATTTCCTGTCTAAAGACCGCTGGAAATAGCCTCTGGTCATTACCATAACAGGAAGCGGCGGAAGGGTTTATGTCGGTCCCCTGAGCTCGCTCCGCCACAGGTCCCAACAACCACAAGGCTAGTTACATAAAGTACTCTGTTTGTCCTGTTAAGACTTTATATTGACAGATGCAGGGCTCCCGCTCTGCTGTTGTGCGTATCAGAGGCTGCCATGCCCCAGGGGTGGTTAGATTGCATATTGATCTCAGGTCAGACTTACATGGTGGCCCAATCTGATGGAGGGCATGAACCACGTCTGCTTTAGACGCTCTTAATACACATGAACACACACAGTACATGTGCATGTTGATGAAAAAAGAAAAGAAAAGCAATTACACTAATACGATCTGTAAAACAGAATAAGTAACACCAGGGTAATAGGTAAACAAACGTAGTCCTTCTTAGAAAGTGGAATAATGAATCTGTCGTGTAAAGAAACAAAATCAGTCCAACATTTTCAGAGTTTTTAAACTTCAAATTGTATACTACCATTATACTGTACTACTACTAATAATAATAACTTTTATTCTACACATCTGATAGAATATTCAATAATCAGTTTATAGAATATTCACTGAACTCTGATCCAAAACCACACAGCATTCTGGGAGATGTAGGGAGAGTTAAAGCTTTAGCCACTCAACCTCTCACATCTAGCTAATAAGCAAAGATAGTGGTGTTAACTGACTCACTCACTCTTTGGTTACCTAGCAACAACCTGTTACGTAAGTTGCACAGCAGCAGTTTCATGTTTTGCCACTGTGTCACATAATGACTTAAAAAAACAACAACAATGTGGAGTGAAAATTAGATAAAACAGGAAAGGTCAAATCACTAGTTTGGCAGCATTTCAGATATTTAAAACAAAAACAAATAAAAAATTATTCATATCTGCTGATATGAATTGCTTATATGGTGATAAGTTTTTCAGTCATATCGTCCAGTCCTGGTTCTTAAAAATATTCTTGCCTGCTCTAAGTGCTTAATTAAATGTCTTTGCCTTACTTTGAGTTTGATTACAAGAAGGTATGATTTGACAATCATCTGCAAAGCGAAACAAAACCAAAGTTAATGTTTCTGAGGGCATCAGCTCAACAAGTTTAAACAAACTTTATCCCTGTAGCTCTGAAACCATCCCCAGCTCTTTTTCTGAACGCTACAAGCAGCAGTCAAGCTACAAAGAAGAATTTCCTTTGGTCTCAGGAGAGACAACACATGTAAGAATGGGTGCAATTTCGTCCAAGCCTTAAACAAGCTGAGTTATACATACGGTTTCCAATCTGAAAATATATATTTAAAATATCACTTTATTTTCCTAAAGATAATACATTGAAAGCCATTTATGTAGTGAACTAATAACATGCTAGAAATGTATGCTGCTTCTTCAGATCTAACCGCTAACAGCGGCCGTGTGGCAGAAAACATGACGCCGAACAAGCTGTAGGCAGCCGAAGAAGAAGAAAAAAAAAACTGCAATGATAATACATGAATCACCAAAAAGCTACAGCACTAAGTTAATTCATTTTTTCCCCTAAACATTATCTCAAGAAATGACCTCTTCCTTAATCTACTCTCTCTCCCATCTCATCTGCTGGTAGGAAGAATGCCCCAAGAGACAGGGCCATTGACTTTCCACACTCAAACACACCTCCATAACGACAACCGCACATACACACTCACACACCAGCCCCGGCTGTCCCAGATTCAGCAGCAAGTCTTTCCAGTCCATTGACTGCCAGCTCATTGTGAGCTGGTCTTAGCAGATAGGCCAGCTGGGCCCCACACTGACACACAATATCCTCAGGCTGCACAGAAAACCCTGTTACTGCAAGGAAACCGGCTGCCGCAGATCCCTGCAGAGTCCTCATTCCGCCTCTATTGTCTCCATGGTTATGAACCGAGTCCCTGCTCCTCTGAGCGGCTGGAAGTAGCGTTGTGAGTAGGGTCAGAGGGTTTCACACATACAAACACACGTTCGTGCACGAATTCATCTAAGCACACACAGACACGCACAAACACACTGCACGCCCTTGATGATGATAATAAGGGCATTTAGGGGCTGTCTCTGGGGGACAGGCAGGTGACTGAGGGGTAATTTTCACCCTGAAAAGACCAATGATTGGCTCTGATTGTGATAATGATCACCATTATTGTCATTACAGCATGAAATGACTCGGAGATAAGGAGAATTTTAAAAAGGTGCATCGGTTTTGTCCTTTTTTTTTTTTTTTGCTGTAGCAGGGATTGGTTTTAAAGCCAGAGAAAGTGAGATGTTGTGGGGATTAAATATATGTATTATTTGCTTCCATAATCCTTACCTCTAACATATCATAGAAGACTTTGATCTTGGTCTTTTTGTCGTCTCTCTAGTTTTGTCCTTTTGTTGTTGTGGATGAAAGTCAAAGCCCATAAGTCATGAAAGGAGACTTTGTCTCTTTATGTCTGTTCAATAAAATTTAGCTTGCAGGGCAGTACATGGATTAGACCCCATCACAAAACGTCTCTCTCTTTCAACCTTTTATGCCTTTTCTGGCCTGTTTCTAAGCTATCTCCCATACAGGGTGCCGATCATTTCACTATTTGCCTTCTCATTCCTTGCATAGTTGTAGTTGTTTCATAGTTTCTTGTGGTTTGAACTGATGATCGTCAATCACACGTCAGTTTCTACCATTGCTAAGGGCGTTTTATTCTGGCTTTGACAACTGAGGATTTGAGAAAATCGCTTTAGAAACACACAAAGTACCCACAGTCTGCAGTAAAGAAATGAATCAACTGTAATAATAAATTAGATATTGGAGGTCATCTAGATTTATTTTGGCATATTGAGGGGTGAAAATCTATCATATTCTAGGAGAGTGAGCTAACCCAAACAGGGATGAGAACCAGAGAGAGTAAAATGTTCTCTAATTATATCCACCAGAAATAAATGACATGAGGTTCTGAGTCTTTATTTTATGACAAACTATCTTCATAACTAGAGATGCAAATCTTTCAGTGTCTAACGATTCGATTCCGATTTTCAGGGTCACGAGTCGATTCAGAAACGATTTTCAAAGAATTGTTCAAAATATAATCTTGCAACAAAATTAAGCAGACTAAAATGGATTTTTGAACTGATTCAGAATTGCTAGGACTAGGAATTGTGCTTTTCTGTATGGTAGGGTTTTTTTTCTGCACCTCTATTCAAAACAACTAAATAAGAATGAAAATATAATCTGATACACAACAAATAAAAACAGAAGTAGATATGGATGTTTTCAGATTATAATATTCAACAATTAAATTAAATTATACAAGATATTTGCACCACTATGAATCTCTATAGTTTATTCCAGAAATATAAAGAAATAATAACTATATGCAAAATTTTTTGAGTCAAATACTCATTTTGCACTTGACCACAAAACGAGGGTGCAAACTGGCGAAAGGGCCAAATGAACCTGGGATGGCATAGAGTGGGATCTGTACCATCCCACTCTACTCTCCCACCACAACGTCAGCAAAACCAGTGTGGGTCAGGGAGAGCAGAGCCTGCTTTTGTCACGGTGGAGCGGTGTCTCTTCAGTGATGGGAGCAGTGAAGTGTTGTGTAACTGGCCTCCTTACAGGCGTGGTAAACAGCGATGTGTCCGAAGGCGGTGCGTAGCGAATGGCTCGTCCCGTAACAAAGAGAGCAAAGGCGCATGTGCTTGTTTGGAAGAGTCAGCTCTCTGTCAGATTTAACCTACTTTAGCCTCTCAAGCAGTTTTTCTCTTTTGTTGTCGGTCGACGTGCCTCTCATTTTATCGTTTCTGAACCAACACTGAGGTCAAGTCCACACCTAGCATTTAAAACTCCTCCTCGCCTCATCTTCTGGATCTTTAAAAGAAAAAAAAAAAAAACATTTTCCTATTTGGTTTGCGATATTTTTTGTTCTTTTAACGCAATGGTGAAATTCATTGATTCAGACTTTTCTTTATTCCAGGGCCAACCAGGGCTGTTATCTCATTCTAACATCCTCTCTCCACACACACACACACACACACACACACACTCTTCCACATTCGTGTTCTTTCAGCCGTCACATTGGCCCCATTCAGAGCCGTCGCCAGGATGGGCGGGACCGCCAGATAGCCATCAGGGCTTTGTGTGTTCTAATTAAACCACTCAATGATTTCAGAAGCCATTTCAATATGAATGTTTGTGGGTTGGCTCCTATCAGAAACTTTTTAATTAGCCCAGTCAGCTCTGTCCTGTGCGGATGGAAATGCACAAAGGCTAATGGAAACAATGGAAGAGCACACGCGTGCGTGCGTGCGTGCGTGCGTGCGTTCGTGCGTGCGTGCGTGCGTTCGTGCGTGCGTGCATGCATGCGCTGATGTGTCTGTTTGGAGCCTCACATCTGCAAGTGCTGCATACCTTCATTTTCCAAATGTGTTTGCAATATGGAGCAATGCGCCGTCTTGATAATGGGACGGTGTGACTGGCAGGTTTACCTACGAGATTGCTCCAGTGTTCGTGTTGATGGAGCAGCTGACTCTGAAGAAGATGAGAGAGATGATTGGCTGGCCAGGCGGAGAAGGAGACGGCCTCTTTTCACCAGGTCAGTTAATAAATCCCTCTGTTGCTGAGCAAGTACATGCTGTAAAGGATCCTAATAATACTGTCACTAGAAGAAGAGTGTGTGGTTTTCCTCAGAAAATGCTTGCATGCATCATTGGTAGGAATACTTTAGGTTCATTGCAAAATAGAAATTGTCAAAAATATCTGGGAAACATGCAAAGAAAAAAATACCAATAAATGCACTAATGCACTGAGTAATGTATAAGTAATTTTTGGCATGCAATTTTTGGGTAAAGTATATATAAGCTATGTTTCCTATGACTATATATTTGCATAATTTGACATTTTGAAAATAAATTCACTTAATGGAAGCACAGCAATTTTGAAACAACTCTTGTTTTTTAGTAAAAAGTTTTGCTCTATGATGAGATTTTTTTCTTGGCCCTATGAAAATTGGTTTATTTTACAAAACTGCAATGGGAACACTTTTTTTTCCCGCATCATCAGAGTCACATGATCAAACCATGAAGAAGAAGACAACAGGAAGTAGTTAGAGAATCATGGGGAGGCATGTTTTTATTGATTTTAATGAATGAACTTATTGACGTGTGACAATAACAGCATTTCTTGTTTAATGGAAGAAACACTGCAATAGTGAAACTGTCCATATTCCTCTAATGTCGAAAAAACAAAATTTTATGCACATTTGTAATGGAAGCGCAGCTGTAAAGAAATGTATAGAAATAGTTTTTTCACCTTGAAATTATCTTTTTTTTTTCATTGTCTTCTTATGTTTGAAGACAAATTCTTGGCTGAATAAAAATAACTTTAAATCTAAATCTGCCACGGGTAAGAATAAATTTGAACTTGACTGTACAACCTCAGTGATATTTTGTTAATTGCCCCTAACAAGCCCCACCTCATTCATACTGTTTTTGTAGCCATCGAGCATTTGACATGATTCTACCTGGATGTTTGACCTCTGACCTTTCAGAATCTGTAGAGTTCACTGAATTAATTGGTTGGTTTCATGGTAGATAGGACTCTCAGGGGAGAAATCAGTAGACAGGTAAAACTATTTAACTCTTGACTTACTGTGACGTAGAAGGTTTTGGAGGTATTCCTCCTCACTCATTATGTTTCACTGGGTCTGGATGATTCTCCGCTGTGGGACTGAATTATATGTCTTTCACTGACAGGGGGCGCTATCTCCAACATGTACAGCGTGATGATCGCTCGCTACAAGTACTTTCCTGAGGTCAAGACAAAGGGCATGTCTGCCGCTCCCCGCCTCGTCCTTTTCACATCTGAACACGTACGTCATCACACACCAACGCGCTGCTCCACCTCACACCTTGGGAGAACTAGTTCAGTGTTCAGTTCAGACAGTTCACTTTTTGAAAATCTAAAACACAATAGTTCAGATGTATTCATCAAGTTGTCATAAGCTAAAATCTTCTGGAAACGTTTTCAAATGTTTCGGATGATGTTGCGAGTTAATAACCATAGTAATTTTGTTCTTGTTTAATATTTTCAGGCTGGAAACCTTTTTGAAAAATCTGTTCTTTTGTTCCCTGGAATCACAAACTGGGGAATCTCACAAATTTAAAATATCATTAAAAAGCAAATTCAGCAAAGTTGTCAAACTCAGAGCCAGTGCTTTAGTAGGCTGACATTTCTGTCATAGAAATCATTTTTTTTGCTGTTAATGATAGAATTAAATATTCACAGAAGCTGAATTTGAGTTTTAGCATTTGTAAGTCATATTCATAGCTGTATAAATGATTGAGATGCAAAAGTATTCTTAATTTCTTCATCTTATATGAGTCAATTTTTTGTCTGATACTTTGACACAAAAACATGTTTATGTGACAATAAGCAATACTTTGAGAAATGTTTACATGTATGATGAGTAGAGTTAAAGAAGTAAGCTAACGTTACTGTTGCTGCTGTTTTACTCTTCATTCACCTCTGGATTCACTGTGACTGAAGGACGCCCCCTGCAGGTTAAATTGACAAATTGGCAAACAGGCACAGTTTGACGGACTCTTATTCTATAGCAATTAACTCAAGTTTTACCAAAAAGTCTGATCTTATGCTACATATTCACTTTTGACAAAAGTAGTTGTTAGCAATGCAAGGTAAACATTATTTAAAAAAAGAAAATGCTCTACTCCTTGTGAAAAAATGTTTTAAGAAGGGAAATGATCACGTTGTCTTTTCTTCCTGCCAGATGCTCATCTTACAAGATTTTCACATTTAACAGTTTTACTCCAAGCAAGGAAAAAAATTAAAAATCAGTTAGCAATTATCTCAAAAATGTTCAACCTTCCCTGAATGCAGCTGTTTGATCATAGAGTCTGATGTGTGTCCCTGCAGAGCCACTACTCTATTAAGAAGGCCGGAGCCGCTCTTGGCTTTGGGACCGACAACGTCATCCTGCTGAGCACAGACGAAAGGTTTGTTGAGGGAAAAGCTGCAATCTGAAAAAAACACGTAAATAAAAAATGACCCTTGAAACCAAGAGTATAAAAATATATTGTTTTACATGTTTTCAGAGGGAGAGTCATACCTGCAGACCTAGAGGCTAAAATCATTGATGCAAAACAAAAGGTTGGCGTCATTATTTCTACTCATGGTATGTTTTTCATTTTAACTCAGATTTAGATCCATCTATAATGTCTGTGTCTCCACAGGGTTACGTGCCAATGTTTGTGAATGCCACAGCCGGTTCCACTGTGTATGGAGCCTTTGATCCCATCAACGAAATTGCTGACATCTGTGAGAAGTACAACCTGTGGCTTCATGTAGACGTGAGTAGCTGATATAACTCAGGGTTCAGATACATATGGATCAGAGATCCATCCCATCTTTAATCGTACTTATTTTGTCTTCTCAGGGCGCCTGGGGCGGTGGACTGCTAATGTCTAGGAAGCATCGTCATAAACTAAATGGAGTTGAGAGGTAAGACAGCATGAGAACAGAAACCGCCCTCTTGTGTTTGAAGAGTGTTTTCACACCCGACAGTCCGGTAGACTCGGTTCAACGGGATCAAAATGGCAACATTTGTCACATTTTAAGCTGCTGCAGTTTTCGTTCACCAATGATTCAGACCGTCTGAAGAACCTAGTCACCCCCTGTGGTAGCTTTGAACCAAGAACCACTGAAGGGAACGATATGAAAACTTCTGAATGAGACCAGCGCAACTTCTTTCTTCACAAAATGTAAACAAAAATGGAGAGACATTTGATTTTCAGTGGTTGTACGATTTCTCTTATGTCTTAGGCAAAAGACCACAAGTCATTTCTCCTGCTAGTGTGAGACATGAGCGTTTGTTTTGGTTGTATTTACCCAGAATGCCCTGCGCTACAGTCCGGTTCCTACTTTTGGAGTGGTCTCTGGTACGCTTGGCATCCTCATGTGCCTTAAAAACGCATCATGTATTCACTTCAACCAAACCGAGACTGACGTTTATAGGCGAACCAGAGTTTGCTTTTTTTTTGGTCCACATCAGAGTTCGATACGCGTTCACACCTCCCCAAACAAACCAAACGTTTTAGGCAAACGAACTACAGTTGAATTAAAGTGGATTAAACAGGGCTGGTGTGAATGCGCCCTAATTCTGCTGGAGATTTTCAGCCTTTAATGAGTGAATGAATGAACATAATTCACATAATGATATGTATTCAACATTACAGAGCCAACTCTGTCACTTGGAACCCCCACAAGATGATGGGTGTCCCTTTACAGTGTTCTGCCATCCTAGTCAGAGAGAAGGTACAAACATAAAAATCATTATTTGTATATAAATATCTTATAAATTGCATGTATTCCCTACAAGTTCAGGGTGATCTGTTTAGAAGAGTCAGAGGGGAAATGCTAAAACTGTGTGCCTTGTTTTTCCGCAGGGAATCCTCGCAGGCTGTAACTCCATGTGCGCTGGCTACCTTTTCCAACCAGACAAACAGTACGACGTCACCTACGATACAGGCGACAAGGCCATCCAGTGTGGGCGGCACGTTGACATCTTTAAGTTCTGGCTCATGTGGAAAGCCAAGGTGAGTTGGCTGGACAGTCATTAACTCAGTAGAAATAATTAATGTTTGCTTCTTTACCCATGAACATTGGTTGAACAACTTTTCCCCTCAGGGCACTATTGGCTTCGAGCAGCACATCGACAAATGTTTGGACCTGTCTCAGTACCTGTACAACAAGATCAAGAACCGGGAGGGATTTCAGATGGTTTTTGATGGCGTGGTGAGCTTCAGCAATTTTCCGTTTAAATTATACAGTGTGCATTTGACTTTTAATATTTGGGGTTTTTTTTACGAAAAGTAAAACAATTTAATGACTAATGTGGATTGATTACATTTGTTTGTGTCTACAGCCTCAGCACACAAACGTTTGCTTCTGGTACATCCCACCCAGCCTGAGAGGAATGCCCGACAGCGATGAGCGGCGAGAAAAACTCCACAGGGTAACTTATGATTCTTACCATATTATTCATATTCCGTGAATTGTTTTCAATTTGTCTCATTATGAACACAAACATAAATTTATTTTTACGTGACAGAGCAGCACTAAGCTGCACATAATTGTGTTTTCCAGTTTTCTTCAGGAAGAAAGATTTTAAAAGTGTTGCGTGTTTTTATAGCAATCCATTCTGACTCGCCTAAGTAAAATTCAAATGGTTACCTAATTAGTAACTAAATAAATATTTCATTCTCAATGAAAATCCATCTGTTCCAACAAATGTCACACTGCTCAGATTTTTATGTGTAAAAGAAAAAAAAAACTGCTTTAAGGTCATTTGTGTGCATCTGCTCTGTTCAACTGGCTAAATATTAGACACGCATCACACTGGAAGTATAATTCCCAGCAAAAATATATGAATATTGTGCACCCTGGTGTTGCAAGGATAATATATTTGTGATTTATTGTGTACACACAGGATTCAGGTTTGCTTCACAGTAACCTCTCGTTTTGACTCCACCAGGTTGCTCCAAAGATCAAGGCCATGATGATGGAGTCGGGGACCACAATGGTGGGCTACCAACCCCAGGGCAATAAAGTCAACTTTTTCCGCATGGTTGTCTCCAATCCTGCTGCCACACAGTCGGACATCGACTTCCTGATTGATGAGATTGAGAGGATGGGTCAAGACCTGTAGTTCTCTCTGTTATTCAGACAGCAAATGGTGGGGGGTGGGGGGTTGCCTCGAGCCTAACAAGCAAAAATAGGAGTCACGTGAAACGTCAATAGTGCTGCAGAAAGATAAATGGCAGAGTCTGGTTTTGGTTTCTTTTTATTCAATAGTAATTTGCCTGAGGCATTCTAAATGTTTCAGCAACTGAAGAGAAACAAGTTCACACAGTAGATTAAATATATAACCTGTACCTGACTTCTCCAGGTACAGAAAGTGTAGGATTTTTCTGTGATGTGGAGTCTTTTAATATTTTAACTTAAATGTAACAATAAGGCTCTCATTCAGAGACATTTGTCTTTTCAAGCTATATGTGTGAGTGAGTATGTGTGAAGATTGTAAATAACAAAAATGGGGCAAAAAAGCACAGAAAAATATACTGAAGTATCACTGAATAGTTCTGCTTTATCAGACATTTGCTACTCATAATTGACTCATGGATGCTCTACGATCTT